ATGTAAAATTTATATAAACTTTGACAGTAAACACCAAATAATGATGCCTATCAAACCTTTGCTTAATACATTCTTCTCTGAACTAGTTTATATTACTTCAACTACTATCTATAATACTATACAGTACAGTATTTTATGCAGGCCAATAGTCATGAAAAATTTAAAAACTTGTTTTCTAAAAATGATTATTGAATTTTATATTTTATTGAAAAATTTAAAAACTCTAGGCTAATTGATGATCAATATAATAATTAAAAACTTTGAATTTGTTTTTATGCTCTTAGTGTTAACATTTTTTATAAAGTATTATCATTATTTATCTATTTTGTTTAATGGAATTATGATTTAGATGCGACTTAATTGTAATATTTAAATTTAATAAGCTTGAAATAAAAATATTGAAAATAAAGGAAATTATCTGATAAAAAAAAAAACAGGAGGCCGATTGTGCATCATCATAAAAATTTGTAGTGACATTATTGATATCATTATTGTAGAAAATGCATAACGATGATTTTATAAATTTCACTCTCATAATAATCAATTGAATAGATTATTTTCAACATTAATTATCAATGGTATCAAGTAGAGTATCTGATTATTCATATCTCCAAAAGGTTTTTGATATGTAAACTGCAAAAAGATTCAAATATTAAAACAATGCAGAATAAAGCCAAATGAAAAAAATAGTAAAATATGTTGTAAACCTTGTCAAACAAAAATTTTATTTTTGTCTTCATATATTCATAAAAAATATTTTATTGGCAGATCTATTTGCTCTTAATCATATAAATTCAATCATCAATTGCCATATTGTTTTTTGATCAAAATAAAATGAGTTAATTTATAATAAAACTAAAATAAATTCAATAAAATGAACACACGTTCGTTTAATTTATTGGACCACTAATGTGTTCATTTTACGGATATAAAATGTTATTTTTTATCAATACAATTTTAATGAAAATACTGTGAACGATTACGATTTTTTAAATCTATTTTCAAACTTTTTTTTACTCTGAGAAAGTTCCAATTGTCTGAAGTGCATGTTATGTGAAAATAAAAAATTTATACAGTAGAATAGAACTTTTTGTGCACTATTTGTTGAATGGAATTGTAGAAAAGCAACTGAAGTAGTGAACTGCGATATAGAGCAATAGGAACATCATAGTTCAAGATTTCATTTACGTTAACATGAAACACTAGCATTTAATTATATCGATTATTATAATAATTGCTGTAATAATTAATTAAGAATTAAATTATAAAAGAATATGAGCCCAAAAATAATAATAACGATATTTTCTTTTTGCATAAGTTTTAATTTTATTTTTCGTTTTGAACTATAGACATAATATGTATCTTACAAATATATTTGATGCACTCATGTGAATTTTTATTTTTATAAAACGAAAGTAAAAAGTTCTTTTTACAAGTAAAATATTTACTAAACGAAGTATTTTATCAATAACGAGTATAGTTCATGTTCACCGTACAGTGTTTTTACTCATAATAAGTAAAATTTTTATTCAGCACGAGCAAAAATTTGTTTGCACTCTTAAGCTTAATATTTGTTTTATCATTTGAATAAACTAAAAAATTCAGTTGAAAAAATAACCAATCAATAAAAACTGCATACTTTTTACACAACTGTTATGAGATCTATGAAGCTGATATTTGAATCACGATATGGTCAACGTGAGTGATCAAATCAATGATATGTAGGCTGAGGATAATAAGAGCTTTATTTATTTTCTATGCTATCTCCAGCAGCCAATATAAAAGTATTATTGAACAGAATATTTCTTTCAAACGAGCTGCTATTGCCATTATCTGTCAAATAACTATGTATGCATATATTTAATTCACATTGCAATAAATTTATAGCATTATTCATAACTCTGTAATATTGCAATTCTTCAACGACTATGTTCGAACGATGGATTCCTAATCTTCTCTATTTTCCCCCTTTGCTTTTTATTTTCCTGAATAGAAGTCATCCTCTTCAATCATGGTGCGATTCTCACCAAGTGTGATGCCAACCTCAGCATCTATAGACGGTTCACACACCCTCGTATTGTCCCTGGGTAGTATCAATTCGGAGTAATCATTTAGGTTCTTCTTTGTGTGACATAAAAAAAATATTGAATGAGGCTTTTTCTATCGAAATAAAAAATATATAATTTTTTGAAAAATATATTTCATTAGATGCAATTAATCATTAGAATAATACTTCTACAAGAATACTTTATTCGTTCAGTAGTAAAATGATTTTATACCAGAAAATAAGGATTCCAACAAACCGTACTTATTCGCTCATAAAATTGAGTATAAAAAATAAATCCCAAATCCTTGTCCGAGCTTGACTCTTTGTTCTCTATTTCTCATAAAATAACATCGAGTGATGCATGTATTCTATAATATAAAGAGAATGGACAACACAAAACGTACTTTACGACCCCATCAAAATTTCAGACAGACCATTATGTTTGATTACTTTCTCAGGAGGACATATTGATACCAATCGATCCCAACAGAGATGAAACTACGTTGCTGATGACGCACCCTCCAATCTTCGTTTCTCTTTCTTTCGTGTATAAATACATTGATATTTGTATGTACAGATATATTTTTTCGTTGCACATGTCTTTTTTTATCTATCATTCCAAGCCACTCCTGTTTCCCTTTGACGAATCTTATCATCCACATAATTGCTTACAACTATTTCTAACAGCTGTTGTCATCAAGCAACATCATTTCGACAATACTTGATTGATGTTATCATTTAGACAATTTTTGGTGTGTAAATGATGAATATGAATCAATAGATAGGACTGCTAAAGTATTTCATTTTTGATGATGAGACATTAAAGCAAGGGGAGAAGAAAGTGGAGTAATTATAGTCACTTAAATAGAGATTGAAATATTATCATTTAAATTTTTATTTTTAGAATATATACTATTATGGTTTATATTCATTTAAGTTTGTAAATCCATCAAATTTAGATTCTAGTTTCTGCATCATCGTAAATGTTTTTTTCACAAAAAGCAAGCTTTGAAATCAACAGGTTTGTATTGTTGATTATGTTGATAAATGGTATGAGTTAAAAAAGTTGATGTCAAATTTTGTAATAATATTAATCAGTCTGGCATCAGGACCTCATCTTCGCCTATCATACAAAAAAAAAAAAATTTATTTAATCGATTTTTCTTAATTAATAAAAAAAAAAAAAAATTACTTGATACTCTTGGCATTAGAATGCAAAATATTTAGAAGAGTCGAGCACTAATACGTTGGACTTCCACACCAATGTTTGATGAACTACTGTATTAACTGACAACCCTTAAACAATCTTTATTGGTTAATTTGTTTGCATGCATTTTTTATTTTAGATATTATTATATAAGTAAACAGCTCAATTGAAGCAGAATTTAAAATTCTGCATTGAAATTTCTTTAATCTATAGAACTTCATTTCTTTACACACTATTTTCAATCAGATCATATTATAAAATTTACTTAACATTTCATTATTAAAAAAAAATTGTTATCTATAGATCAACGTAATTGCGGTTATTACTAATACTAATCAAATTACCATTATTCTCATCTTAAAGTTTATTCATTCGTGTCTAACACATTTAACTGTCACATTCATACCCGCACAGAGTTTATATTCATTCTATGCGCCCATTAATGATAATATGAAAATAAATTTTCGATTTGAGTCATATTTACTTGAATATTTATCATCGATGAAATTAATTAAGTGGAAAAAATAAATTAACTCGAAAGTACTCCATTATTTCTAGATAATTGCTATTAATTGGACTCAATAGTGAAGATGAGTGATATGAATGAAAAATGTATATTAAAAGCAGTAAATATCTAAAGATTAAAAATTAATATCGTAGTATAAACTTGAGGTAATACTTGTGCTCTTGATTGTAACCGCTCTTCATTGGCACTCTCACGTTTGGATGCATTTTAAATGAGTTTATTCATTTTAAACATATTAATCAACCTAGAGAAATTATTGATAAAAATAAATTTACACTTTCACAGTTCGTTATCAATGTACGAGTTCATTGAAATCATAAAATACAAATATTTGGGTAAAAATATTAATAATAGAGAAAAAAACATATACTAATTGCTAAATATATTTGTTTATATCTTTATAAATATTTATAAAACTATACTTTTCAATTCCACCATTGATATGTGTAGAAAGAATGATGAAACTTTTTTAGTCAGTCAGTCTTTTTGTAAATGAATGTAATTTAGTCACTTACAGTTTTTAACAATAATTCTTAATAATTTTATCTTAATGAACATGACTAATTGAACAGATATGAGTATAATAGTATGAACAGAAATATTAAAATATTTCAAATTTTTAATATTTTATTGAAAAAAAAATCCTAAAAAAAAAGTTTTAATCTTTTCTATCAATAATTTTATACTGAAACGATGTTCATCACATGCTTTAATAATGTAGTTTTTCTGTGGAAGGCAAATGAATGCCATCGTTTACGTTAAGTTACTTTTTCAAAATACAGTGGTAATATAATTTACTATGTAAGTACATTATTCTAACCTTTAGAATAGACATTGATATTAAATATGCATTCATTTTAGAAACTCATGCAAATGTCTAATATAAATATACAAATACACCTACATAAGGTCTTCAAAATAATAACATCCAATTATTTGTTTAATGAATAAATCAAATTTTTAATGAATATAAAAAATATATCGTAGAATCAACAAAATATCATGTGTAAATAATTGTAAATATTTGTACAATTTCATTTCCAAAATTTGCGTAGAAAACAACATACAATATAAAGTAAACAATTCAGATATAAAGCTAACAATTGTTTAAATGGATACATAGACTTAATATTTATTCAAAATAATGATTACAAAAATTTAAACTGTATTTATTAAATATTTCAGCATATTGTAACCAATTATATATAATTTTAAAAATGTTTTTTTTTCTAATTCGTTTCAGCAATGAATATAAGGCCCTTGAGCATTTATTTAAGGTAAGGATTACATATTTTATATGAAAATATCCTTCAATTTTTTTTAAACTACAGTTTTGCATTGATTGGCTTGCACTTCATAGAATTTTTTAAATTACAATATAAAAACTTACGCTACTAATTCTTTAATTTGAATGTAAAATTCATTGAAAACATTCTATCAGGAGACAAAAAAGTTATTCCAATTTTTCAATAACTATTTGTAAAATTTAATACTATTTGTATTATTTGTATTTATTTTGTCAATATTTAAATCAATATCTTCTTACATATTACAAAGTGATGGTCGAAAAATAAACTATTTTATGTAAGTATTATTAGACATTCTGATAGCCATTGTGTATTTATTATAAGAGCTTCAATTAACGATAAAGAGAATTTGAGTTTTTTTATGTGAAAATCTATTTTAAATGTATTATTGTTATGCTTTTGAATATTACTTCAATTATTCGAGCATGTGATTTATTGGGAAAATTTCGAATTAACTATATGATGAAATTGAAGTGGATTCTGTGCATTGATAATTTACATAAAAACACCGTTGATATTGATGTTGAAATTTGTAATGCTTTGAGATTATTATTTGATCTATAAAAACATCTTTTCTATGTGAGTTAATGTTACTGAAAAATGGAATAAAATTTTTTGATGTGGAAGACTAATTTTCTCGACAGCTTTAAAGAAAGTTAGAAATGCGAAAAAATTTAGTATAAAAAGTTTTCACATGCCATTGTAAGCTGGACCACCACCGCCTTCGGGCACTACCCAGTTGATGTTCTGACTGGGATCCTTGATATCACAAGTCTTGCAGTGAATGCAATTCTGGGCGTTGATCTGTAGCCTTTGGCCATCTCCACTTTCGAGTGGAACGAACTCATAGACCCCTAGAACAATCAAAAGCAAGAAGTTTAGAAAACAGTCAACAATTTCAACATATAGATATAACTTTTATATAAAAGTAAAACAATATGAATGTTGAAATGATTATGTCAAATATTATGATAAAAAATCTCAGTGAAAAAGAATTTACTTGGTAGATATTATTTTCGTAAAATGTAATATTAAACATTGCAATATGTACTAAGTAAGTATGATAGGAAAAAATTTGCCCAAGAGAGAGGAATAAGAAACCAAACGAAATTAATCGTCAGCATCCGTATCTAACTCTTTCTCTTGAATGGAGTACAGTTAAGAAGATCTTGAAGAAGGTTGCATGCTTGCGGCACATTTCTCATCCTTTTGACGTTCTCTGAACTTATCAGTCTTTTATAAGATAAATATATCTTGCAGGATAGACTGAACATTAAAATTAAAGATATAAAAGATGTTGAAGTCATACTTTTTTTACTAAAAGATGCTTAGTAGAAATGAGCATTTTCCTGTGTACTAAAAATTAAATGAAATCTGTGCTTTTCTTTTTCTTGTTTTCAATCTTTTTCGGGAGTTTCTTTTACGGTTATTACAGAATAAAAATACACCAAAAAAGTACAAAGATTAAAGAAATCCTAAAAATAATCTATATTACATTTATTCCATAGGGAAAAAAGCAATTTTCTATTTTATTCCTCTTTTGTACTGCAGTGTGCACTCCATTCGTATTGTCCAGCCTTAACCATACATTTATAAGAGAAATAGTAGGATCTTTTAAGCTGCTCAAGCTCAGTGACAGACGTGCACAGATGAATGTTACAGTTGTCGTGAACGTGTTAGCCAGGTTTATCTGAATCGTTAACCAACGGTCGATAGGTAAGTAAAAGTAAAGGTGAGGGAATTTTTCTCAAGACTAGCGTTTTTCAATTCTATTTGCAACATTTTTCATTCAATGACTTTTCGTAGCATTTTTAATCTGTAAATATCTTTTTAATTCTATATTTGTCGGACACTTTAATTTTGTATCAATATTTCTCCTTTCAGTTATTTCTACCGTTTATTTATCTTTAATAGCAATCGAGGATCTTGTCCAGATAAAACAAATATATTCAATGTCTGACTTACTCCCTGCTGCATTTACTATTCATGGCTGACCAAAGTCTACAAGATCTACTATGCACGTCTGACTCCCACGAGCACTTATTCTACTCCCAGCAGGCAGTAACATCCGCGTTGTAAACTCGTCTTATTTGTGAAAACGTCTAGCAACCAATTTAAAATGGATTCCACTTTGATACATCCTTATTTCTTTTTTCCAGTTTGCATTTCCTTGTCTTCTTTATTCCTTAGTGATATGAAAATTCTGAATTACTGCCACTCTTATGTCTCTTTTGAACCGTCAAACAAAAAAGTTACAAGTTCCAACGAAAGATCTTACTTAATGTTGATACTTACGTCTTCATTTTTATCTATTTTATATCATTTCAGCAACGTTTTACTTTTAGCAGTAACCTGCACTCAAAATGGTTAGTGATAAAAAACAAATTTATTTTTGAATCTTTTTTATTTTATTCTTTTTCATTTCTTTTGGATTGAACTGAGTTCCTCATTCTCTTCCCTTAAGTCTTTTCATGCCTTCCAATTCGTTCGCTCCACTGTCTCTTTCTCTCTTATTTCTCGCTTCAATTTTCTTAAAGCTTCACTAACGCATCGAGCAAAAGGAGAAAGACAGAAAGTCGACACTGCCGGAGGGTTGTATCTTTATGCCGCACCCCTATGCTTTTCTTTAGTAGACGACGACGTTTCCTTTAAGGGTGCAAGCTCCGGATTATCGACTGTTAGGTATAACGACCAACCCTACGACGCTGCTGGTCTAAGTACCATGTAAATATTTTTTGCAAATAAGACAATGATACAAAATTTCTGTATTATTTCACATAATCCGTTATGGAATTAAAAAAATAATTAATTTTATTTTTCTATTATTTTCCTTTTGTGCATAAAAAAATAAAGAAATAAAAAAATAAATCATAGAAAAAATGATTCAAAGAGTGATTGAGGTGTCTAGCATAGTAACAATAGAGCACAATAACGGGTTGCAAGAGATTAAGTTATTTTTCTCTTATTTTCTCCAACATGCGAATGATTTGTGGATACAAGAATTTCGACGATTTTGCTCAATAGCAAACAAAAAAACAACTACAGCTAAAATTAAAAGTGAAAAAAATGTTATGATTAAATGATTTGTCTTTGATCCCTTTTTTTAACTTTGTTCACAATAATCCACAGTAATTCAATTAATCAATTCAGATGATATTTTATTATTATCAAGTATTTTTGTATCAACACCCTTTACTTGAATTCAGGTAATTATATCCAACTAAATTAAATTAGGAAATTTAAGAGTCGATATAAGAGATATCGTAGAAAACGAAGAACTACGGAAGCAACTGAAACCCTCGAATAGTCAAGGGGCGCGTTGGATTCTCAGACGCTCTAGCAATTAACTGAAGCGGCGGCATCACATCGAAGAAGGATAAGCGATACGAGTGTACCTTATGATGGTGTTGGAGAAGTTGCAGCTTGTGCTTGGTCCGGGGTTGTCTAGTCGTGCGGGGTTCATCCGGGCTACTCAGGTTCAAGGACACGCCGGTCGATACTCCCAACGCAATATAAGAGAAAGGGACGAAGAGAAGATTCACCCGAGTTGAGAAAGGTAGACGGAGAAGCTAGAAAATAAGGAAGAAACGAATTCAGAAACTTGCGAGGGTTGAAAGCCCGTGAGTCTCATGGGATTCCATAGAATAAATTGTCGGTTCACAGCATTTTCTGTCGAATACGAACAGTCGCATTGGATTGCGACAGATTGAGTTAGGAAAGTAACAATTTATTGGTATTGTCATTCTTTTTTACTTTTTTTCTACCAGACAGCAGCTATTTGTTAGAAAGAATAATTGATCAAGAAATTTATTCATGAAATTACATTTGACAAAAAATTTTTTCATATCAAGTTTTTCTTTAAACATAAAAGTATAAGTAAAGGTTAATAAAGATAAAGATCTAAGGTGAGAATATGCACAGATAGAAAAGCCAAAGAGAAACTTGGAGATTCAAAAACATTAAGAGGATTTTGCTCGTTTGCAAGTCTCCTGTGGTCTTATCCACGTCGAAAGCTTTGCAATCGCAAAACGTCGCGCCTTATTGTTCGCTACTGTATGCAAACGTACGCTCGAGACTTTCTTGTGATAATGAGTCACAAAGAGGCATGTGCGGTGAGAGTTTTTTTTAGTTCCTCCAAGAGTCTCTTTACAACTGAAATAGAAAGGGTAACGTAACAATACAAATACAGGCCACAAAGCTGACAGTAATACTTTGCTACTTTCCACCTTTTTTCTTGATCTCGGGTGTTTATAATGTATTTATTTACATTTCTTTCATGTTCCTCTTGTTCTTTCGGGAGTAATATTTTAGCTAATTACTCCTGCAGACGACTGAATTTACGCACTGACTATTCCTGAAGGATTTAAGTCAAAGACTAAAAATGTAATTGTAAAATCCATTAACTCATAATAAAGTCCCTTTCACCATTGTTATTTTTTTGTTAAATATTCTCAATCGCTACACAAAAAATCTAAACTTGATATACGAAAAAAATTTATGTGGGCATCTATAGACAATAAAAATAAATAAAAATATTGATTCCCATGAGATAGCAAAATTCAATCCGGCAAAGAGAAAATTTGGAAAAAATAGTCAGAGGAAAATTGAAAAAAATGATGTACATAAATTTAATAAATACTCTAATTTTTTTCAACAATTGATTTACGAGAAGCAATTCTAAACGTCGAACAATCTGTCCCGGAATAATACCTCGAACTGTCGCGAGCAATCGACCGACTACCGGTGATTCTATTCGCGTGAATAAACGGCTATCGACAGAGTGATTAATGGAAACGATAAAACTGACTGGTTAGACCCGCTTTTCTCTTAGTCACTTTATCCTTCAATCTCTTTACAGAAGTATAAACGATTGTTTGAGTGAAAATTTTTTAGTTGATAAAGTTACTTTGTAATTTTTTCCACTATATTTTATTCTTTCCTATTTGAGTTTTGTGATTTTTTCGGTTTAGATAAAATAGACTGATGAGAAAACGGAATGGATTTTGCACCCTTTGTAGGAAAACGACTCATTAAAGTGCTAATTTAAATTTAGCCTGAGGGTGCAAATTTAAATGGGAATTTGTTGAGTGACATTGCCAAGTCGATGGGAGCACTAAAAAGTGAATAAAGATATAGATGGACTCACCAGCAGGACAAAAACGTCCCTCGGGACCATCGTAAATTGCCAAGTTCTTCTTCACAGGTACAGTGTCATCTAGAAGAGTCAGATGGGGTGGTTGATCAGCTTCATGATTTGTTCCAGTAAGAGCGACAGATGAAAGAAGATCGAAGGAGACTTCATTATCGGGTTTCGGATAGATGATTGGAGTACACTGTGACGCGGGTTTCAACTTTGTATGATCTGCTCCACCGTGTGAAAGTGTCCAAGGTTCTTTACCTCCGACTAACATAGAGAAACCAGAATAAATCATACCACCATAAAGCCCAAGACTCGAATGAAAACTTGGTCGGAAATTTCTCACTGCTTTCAATTCATTCCAGATCCAACTGTTTTTAATTTTATCTGTATAATTTTTGGGCTCAATACCAATAGTTGTAGAACTATTTATCTCAGCATCAATGATAGCTTCTACAACACTTTCCGCTGCTAACATACCACTCTTCATAGCATTGTGTACTCCCTTAATTTTTGGAACGTTGAGAAAACCTGCTGTACAACCAACCAAACAGCCACCAGGAAATTGCAGCTGTGGAATGCACTGAAAACCACCTTCCACTAGAGCTCGTGCACCATACGCTATTCTAAAATAGTCAATATTAAATTAACTAAATATTTCAATTGTAATGATAAGGAAGATGTAATGAACAATTGGGAGAATTTGATGTACCTCTTTCCGCCTTCAAATGTTGGTCGTATTGCTGGATGCTGTTTGAATCGTTGAAATTCCTTGAAAGGATGCAAATATGGATTGTTATAATCCAAACCCACGACAAAACCTATAGCAACTAATGGCGTTTCTTCATTAAGATGATACAAAAACGATCCTCCATAGGTGTTCTTATCTAACGGCCAACCTACTGTATGTTCGACGGCTCCCGGTCGATGTTTTTCTGGTTGAATTTCCCAGATCTACAAATTAATTCTTACTTCTTGATCTTGATCGAGAAATGTTTGTGATAAAAACACTGACCTCTTTAAGTCCAATACCATAACTTTGGGGTTCACAGTTTGATCGAAGATTTAGTTTCTTAGACAATGATTTTGTTAAATGACCATGACATCCTTCAGCAAAAATAGTACATTTAGCATGAAGTTCCATGCCTCGTTCGAATGTTACTTTTGGAGAACCATCTTTCGCAATACCAACGTCATTAGTAGCAACTCCTTTTACTGAACCATCTTCGTGATATAAAACTTCTGCTCCGGCGTAGCCAGCATATAATTCTACACCTGCTGCTTCTGCTTGTTCACTCAACCAAGCAACTACATGTCCCAGTCTACAGATTAATCATCATTTTTGAAAATAAAATAACTTTTTAAAGTTTGTAAACTTTGATAATAGTAAGCATATTTGATAAGATTTCATATTTACCTTACAATGTAATTTCCATGATTATACATAGGCATTCCCTTAAAAATCGGAATAGATACTCTGCCCTTCTCTGTGAGAAATGCAAATTTATCTTCGGTTACTGGTGTCTTCAAAGGAGCACCAAGCTCTTGCCAATTCGGAATAAGTTCGTTGAGAGCGACTGGATCAATACATGCACCACTCAGAATATGACTTCCAACAGTTCCAGCTTTTTCAACTAATGTTACTCTGAGATCTTTTCCATGTTTCTCTGCTAACTTTTTGGCTTGAATAGCTGCCGACATTCCCGCCGGGCCTCCACCGATAATCAGAATGTCTGTTTCATCTACATAACGTTCCATATTTATATCTAGAAATAATAGACTTATGTTAATTTATTCATCGCTATTTAAAGAATTAGAACCAAAGATAAAGTACTTTGAATTATACCTTTCCATCTTAGATCTGTTTCTCTAGGCACTATCGTATAATGAGTGGTAATTTTAGGAAATAGAGATGCTGAATAGTTTCTTTTAGATAACTGTTGTAACGTCCGTACTATAAAACAAAAGATCATATTATCACATTATCAATGACAAATAGATGATTGAAAACTCTTATTTTTGGTGTAAATTTATTCAATTAATAATTTTTTTTTTAATTTTCTATAGTAACCATCAATTCTATTTAGGATTGAAAGATTTCAAATGATTTATTGAGAGAAGTGTACTTCGGATCGTTACATAACAATTTATTGCAATACAATATACAAAATTGCAATGAGTTATTTTTTTGAGAAAATAAAAAAAAGTGTTTTCAGCACATTAATTAAATCTGTCGGGATGAAACAAAAAAATTAAAAACAAATTGTTTAATTAAAATCATTGATGAATGGAATTGCCTAACAATATGATACAAAAAACATTGCATTATTGATGTATCTAAAGCTACTTACCAAACATTGCAGTATTTACAGCTGCACAAGCCATAGTTACACACTGGTAACTCACAGCTGAGTGCAAATAATTGACCCACAATTTACTTTACACCAATCATGTATTGTTGTCAAATTGATAATAACGTCATCATTGATAATTCTAACCCTCTTACATAAAGACGAACAACGAAGAAACTAAAACGCACGATGCCATTTTACCGCAAATAAAGTAGAAATCTGTAAATTTTTCTATAGATAAATAATCGACGGATTTTCATGAAACTTTTTACCACGAACTCGTTTTTGCTTAGTAAATACTGAATACAAAAGTGAAATAAGTGATAAAATTAAAGATTGTAAGAAAAAAATTTCCCAATTTTGATGATCGAGGGCTCATTATTATTTACATTTATATTGTCTGCAATAGATGTTGAAGTGCAGGGCACCATCAGAGAAGAGAAACCAGTATAAAGGTCAGTCCATATGGAAACTAAGAAATGCAATCAGCATTCATGAAAATGACCGCAAGACGGCACGCCAACCCGGCATCGAACAATGGCTATAATGAGTTATCATTAGCAAAAAACTTATGCATATTTTTATGTCTTGCAGTTTTTCGAGAATATCTCCTGATTTTACTAACCAAATATGGTCAACAGCCAGTGTTTAGAAACCGTCTCGTCCCCGTCTTTCCAATGAAATCCTTAATTTTGAGATCCAAGCATAAATACGCTTTTTAGCTATTTTTGAGGTTAAAAAAAAAAATTCTTCGATTTTGATGATTGAGGGTTACTCCGTACGTTTCGGTGCTCTGAAATTCGACCTTAAATGACCATTTATTTCACCGACTATATAACCGAAAATAAACGTGAAACCGGAAATGGCTATAATTTAAGCATAAATTATGCTCGGATCGTAATTTTGACTAGTGCATTAGAAAGCTCTCGATCTCGAGAATCCATGGACATGCTTGTGTTCCATGTACCTCCCATAGATCGTGAGTTATTGGCGAAAAACGAAGCTATGCTCCAATAAAACATAGAAAAATCTTTAAACGCTCATAACTCGAAAACTAAGCGAGATACGGCATTTTTGACGGGGATATCCTATAGGGGGGATCCAATTTTTTACTCAGGTCCAGATCTTTCATATGAGCCCTCGATCAACCCCGTAGCATCATTTGCATAGAAGTTATGCATATTTTTATGTTTTGCAGTTTTTCGAGAATATCTCCTGATTTTACTAACCAAATATGGTCAACAGCCAGTGTTTGGAAACCGTCTCGTCCCCGTCTTTCCAATGAAATCCTCAATTTTGAGATCCAAGCATAAATACGCTTTTTAGCTATTTTTGAGGTTAAAAAAAAAAATTCTTCGATTTTGATGATTGAGGGTTACTCCGTACGTTTCGGTGCTCTGAAATTCGACCTTAAATGACCATTTATTTCACCGACTATATAACCGAAAATAAACGTGAAACCGGAAATGGCTATAATTTAAGCATAAATTATGCTCGGATCGTAATTTTGACTAGTGCATTAGAAAGCTCTCGATCTCGAGAATCCATGGACATGCTTGTGTTCCATGTACCTCCCATAGATCGTGAGTTATTGGCGAAAAACGAAGCTATGCTCCAATAAAACATAGAAAAATCTTTAAACGCTCATAACTCGAAAACTAAGCGAGATACGGCATTTTTGACGGGGATATCCTATAGGGGGGATCCAATTTTTTACTCAGGTCCAGATCTTCATATGAGCCCTCGATCAACCCCGTAGCATCATTTGCATAGAAGTTATGCATATTTTTATGTTTTGCAGTTTTTCGAGAATATCTCCTGATTTTACTAACCAAATATGGTCAACAGCCAGTGTTTGGAAACCGTCTCGTCCCCGTCTTTCCAATGAAATCCTCAATTTTGAGATCCAAGCATAAATACGCTTTTTAGCTATTTTTGAGGTTAAAAAAAAAAATTCTTCGATTTTGATGATTGAGGGTTACTCCGTACGTTTCGGTGCTCTGAAATTCGACCGTAAATGACCATTTATTTCACCGACTATATAACCGAAAATAAACGTGAAACCGGAAATGGCTATAATTTAAGCATAAATTATGCTCGGATCGTAATTTTGACTAGTGCATTAGAAAGCTCTCGATCTCGAGAATCCATGGACATGCTTGTGTTCCATGTACCTCCCATAGATCGTGAGTTATTGGCGAAAAACGAAGCTATGCTCCAATAAAACATAGAAAAATCTTTAAACGCTCATAACTCGAAAACTAAGCGAGATACGGCATTTTTGACGGGGATATCCTATAGGGGGGATCCAATTTTTTACTCAGGTCCAGATCTTTCATATGAGCCCTCGATCAACCCCGTAGCATCATTTGCATAGAAGTTATGCATATTTTTATGTTTTGCAGTTTTTCGAGAATATCTCCTGATTTTACTAACCAAATATGGTCAACAGCCAGTGTTTGGAAACCGTCTCGTCCCCGTCTTTCCAATGAAATCCTCAATTTTGAGATCCAAGCATAAATACGCTTTTTAGCTATTTTTGAGGTTAAAAAAAAAAATTCTTCGATTTTGATGATTGAGGGTTACTCCGTACGTTTCGGTGCTCTGAAATTCGACCGTAAATGACCATTTATTTCACCGACTATATAACCGAAAATAAACGTGAAACCGGAAATGGCTATAATTTAAGCATAAATTATGCTCGGATCGTAATTTTGACTAGTGCATTAGAAAGCTCTCGATCTCGAGAATCCATGGACATGCTTGTGTTCCATGTACCTCCCATAGATCGTGAGTTATTGGCGAAAAACGAAGCTATGCTCCAATAAAACATAGAAAAATCTTTAAACGCTCATAACTCGAAAACTAAGCGAGATACGGCATTTTTGACGGGGATATCCTATAGGGGGGATCCAATTTTTTACTCAGGTCCAGATCTTTCATATGAGCCCTCGATCAACCCCGTAGCATCATTTGCATAGAAGTTATGCATATTTTTATGTTTTGCAGTTTTTCGAGAATATCTCCTGATTTTACTAACCAAATATGGTCAACAGCCAGTGTTTGGAAACCGTCTCGTCCCCGTCTTTCCAATGAAATCCTCAATTTTGAGATCCAAGCATAAATACGCTTTTTAGCTATTTTTGAGGTTAAAAAAAAAAATTCTTCGATTTTGATGATTGAGGGTTACTCCGTACGTTTCGGTGCTCTGAAATTCGACCGTAAATGACCATTTATTTCACCGACTATATAACCGAAAATAAACGTGAAACCGGAAATGGCTATAATTTAAGCATAAATTATGCTCGGATCGTAATTTTGACTAGTGCATTAGAAAGCTCTCGATCTCGAGAATCCATGGACATGCTTGTGTTCCATGTACCTCCCATAGATCGTGAGTTATTGGCGAAAAACGAAGCTATGCTCCAATAAAACATAGAAAAATCTTTAAACGCTCATAACTCGAAAACTAAGCGAGATACGGCATTTTTGACGGGGATATCCTATAGGGGGGATCCAATTTTTTACTCAGGTCCAGATCTTTCATATGAGCCCTCGATCAACCCCGTAGCATCATTTGCATAGAAGTTATGCATATTTTTATGTTTTGCAGTTTTTCGAGAATATCTCCTGATTTTACTAACCAAATATGGTCAACAGCCAGTGTTTGGAAACCGTCTCGTCCCCGTCTTTCCAATGAAATCCTCAATTTTGAGATCCAAGCATAAATACGCTTTTTAGCTATTTTTGAGGTTAAAAAAAAAAATTCTTCGATTTTGATGATTGAGGGTTACTCCGTACGTTTCGGTGCTCTGAAATTCGACCGTAAATGACCATTTATTTCACCGACTATATAACCGAAAATAAACGTGAAACCGGAAATGGCTATAATTTAAGCATAAATTATGCTCGGATCGTAATTTTGACTAGTGCATTAGAAAGCTCTCGATCTCGAGAATCCATGGACATGCTTGTGTTCCATGTACCTCCCATAGATCGTGAGTTATTGGCGAAAAACGAAGCTATGCTCCAATAAAACATAGAAAAATCTTTAAACGCTCATAACTCGAAAACTAAGCGAGATACGGCATTTTTGACGGGGATATCCTATAGGGGGGATCCAATTTTTTACTCAGGTCCAGATCTTTCATATGAGCCCTCGATCAACCCCGTAGCATCATTTGCATAGAAGTTATGCATATTTTTATGTTTTGCAGTTTTTCGAGAATATCTCCTGATTTTACTAACCAAATATGGTCAACAGCCAGTGTTTGGAAACCGTCTCGTCCCCGTCTTTCCAATGAAATCCTCAATTTTGAGATCCAAGCATAAATACGCTTTTTAGCTATTTTTGAGGTTAAAAAAAAAAATTCTTCGATTTTGATGATTGAGGGTTACTCCGTACGTTTCGGTGCTCTGAAATTCGACCGTAAATGACCATTTATTTCACCGACTATATAACCGAAAATAAACGTGAAACCGGAAATGGCTATAATTTAAGCATAAATTATGCTCGGATCGTAATTTTGACTAGTGCATTAGAAAGCTCTCGATCTCGAGAATCCATGGACATGCTTGTGTTCCATGTACCTCCCATAGATCGTGAGTTATTGGCGAAAAACGAAGCTATGCTCCAATAAAACATAGAAAAATCTTTAAACGCTCATAACTCGAAAACTAAGCGAGATACGGCATTTTTGACGGGGATATCCTATAGGGGGGATCCAATTTTTTACTCAGGTCCAGATCTTTCATATGAGCCCTCGATCAACCCCGTAGCATCATTTGCATAGAAGTTATGCATATTTTTATGTTTTGCAGTTTTTCGAGAATATCTCCTGATTTTACTAACCAAATATGGTCAACAGCCAGTGTTTGGAAACCGTCTCGTCCCCGTCTTTCCAATGAAATCCTCAATTTTGAGATCCAAGCATAAATACGCTTTTTAGCTATTTTTGAGGTTAAAAAAAAAAATTCTTCGATTTTGATGATTGAGGGTTACTCCGTACGTTTCGGTGCTCTGAAATTCGACCGTAAATGACCATTTATTTCACCGACTATATAACCGAAAATAAACGTGAAACCGGAAATGGCTATAATTTAAGCATAAATTATGCTCGGATCGTAATTTTGACTAGTGCATTAGGAAGCTCTCGATCTCGAGAATCCATGGACATGCTTGTGTTCCATGTACCTCCCATAGATCGTGAGTTATTGGCGAAAAACGAAGCTATGCTCCAATAAAACATAGAAAAATCTTTAAACGCTCATAACTCGAAAACTAAGCGAGATACGGCATTTTTGACGGGGATATCCTATAGGGGGGATCCAATTTTTTACTCAGGTCCAGATCTTTCATATGAGCCCTCGATCAACCCCGTAGCATCATTTGCATAGAAGTTATGCATATTTTTATGTTTTGCAGTTTTTCGAGAATATCTCCTGATTTTACTAACCAAATATGGTCAACAGCCAGTGTTTGGAAACCGTCTCGTCCCCGTCTTTCCAATGAAATCCTCAATTTTGAGATCCAAGCATAAATACGCTTTTTAGCTATTTTTGAGGTTAAAAAAAAAAATTCTTCGATTTTGATGATTGAGGGTTACTCCGTACGTTTCGGTGCTCTGAAATTCGACCGTAAATGACCATTTATTTCACCGACTATATAACCGAAAATAAACGTGAAACCGGAAATGGCTATAATTTAAGCATAAATTATGCTCGGATCGTAATTTTGACTAGTGCATTAGAAAGCTCTCGATCTCGAGAATCCATGGACATGCTTGTGTTCCATGTACCTCCCATAGATCGTGAGTTATTGGCGAAAAACGAAGCTATGCTCCAATAAAACATAGAAAAATCTTTAAACGCTCATAACTCGAAAACTAAGCGAGATACGGCATTTTTGACGGGGATATCCTATAGGGGGGATCCAATTTTTTACTCAGGTCCAGATCTCTCATATGAGCCCTCGATCAACCCCGTAGCATCATTTGCATAGAAGTTATGCATATTTTTATGTTTTGCAGTTTTTCGAGAATATCTCCTGATTTTACTAACCAAATATGGTCAACAGCCAGTGTTTAGAAACCGTCTCGTCCCCGTCTTTCCAATGAAATCCTTAATTTTGAGATCCAAGCATAAATTCGTGGAGGAATTAGAAACTTACGATCCATTGTATTTAGATTTAGGCGGAATAATTCAGCTTCGTGACTTGAGCCCAGCCTTAAAGTAAATAATGAACTACATAGTTGAATATTAAGACTGTAAATACATGAGTGTACATTTATTATCAATTAACGTATATTAATATTAATAAATTATTGATGTACAATTGATTAAAATTCATTTTTTGACATTGTTATTTTGAAGAGAAGATGCATTAACGTGCACATGAATTAAATTTATCAAAAAATTCAGATTTTGGTTGATATTTATAAACTTTTGTGTTTAGATAATTTTGCCGTGATTTTTGTTGTTGAGCCAATTGTAAATTTTCTGCTGCTATTTGTTTCCGCGTTTCTCTGAAATAAGCAGATTATTCAACTACATTAACGAGTATTCTCTTTAATTGGATAATGTAAGTTATTATCTTAATACTGAGTGACTATTGTCTTTAATAGCCTAGATGTGCTATTTTGTGAACTTTCAATTCAGATTTTAAAACATCATACGCGAAAATCTCTACAATGTAATAAAGGTATGTTGTTTCTATTTTATTTTTCAACTTAATATCTCAGTAATCATATTTGCAAACTAACTGACTTTGTATATGTCATTTTAATAACTTTATTCTCTTTATTCATATTGTTTTTAGGTATGCTAATGCTTGATCAAGAACGATTGAAAGGAAAACAATATTCTTGTTACGTTCAAACAAAATGAAATGGCGTTTTCTGTTAACAACAAAATTTTTCGTTCTCTACTCTTCTTATTATATAGAAACAGATAACTTGGATTTAACAAAGCCTGAGACATTTATATGTCTATTAAATCATTAATTACTTGAAATCTTCGATTAAAAAGTTCTCTAAATAACTTGTCTTTTGTTGACTATTTCCAAAAAAACTTACCTATCTTTTTGGTTTAGTTCTTCATAATACTTTTCAGCTATTTGCATATTTTCTAGCATGATTCGATTCCACTCCTCGTTTTTATGTTTCTCTTCCTGTCGCATTCTCTATTATATTTTTAAATTTATTAATACATGTGTAATTTATAAACTCAATGGGCTCAATTAATTCTATAAATGTTTTAACATAATATAAGAAGTTGAAGATGAAAATTACTTGAATTTCCTGCATCTGTCGTGCTTGCTCGTGTTGAATGACCTTGAGTTCATCAGATGACATGCCCTTGTAGCGGTCAGTTAGTGGTTTGTAAGGTCCACAAATGCTTTCCGCTTGTTCTCGTGCTTCCGTTAGGAAGTCACCAGTTACGTGGTTATAAATCTCAGCACGCTTGTCTTCTTCATCTTTAATAGCCTCACAACGTCGACGATACTCTTGCTCCTCTGCCTTTATAGAGCAGTTAAAAATTATTTATGATAACTTTATAGCCTTCACTTATATTGAGAATCAGTTTATATCATTCTGACATTAACATTTCTCCGTAAAATCTCTATGAAAATATCTAAATCACATAAAATCGTAATAAGAAAAAATAGCTATTAAAACTCTTCAATTTACCAATGCATATTACGAAATATAAATTATATAGTGCTGAAGAGGAATAACGGAAAGAACATAAATTACAATTTGAAATAAAACAGTGATTAAGTGAGTATTGAACATCTAATGTCGACTGAAAATATTTATTCAAGAAATCATTGATTGAATAAATGAAAGATTCAATAAAAACTGGAGTTTTAATTTCTCCATTTTCTATAATAGTTAATATTTTTCCACTGCTATTCATTTTAAGTTGTTCAAAAAAAAGTTGTGAAAGCTGTATTAATTATAAAAATTAATTGATTAATGCAGTAATTAACCTTTGTGAATATTTTATAGTGAAACCGTATCTAAATGATTAAAAATATTTATCACCTAATTATTCATCATTTATAAGCTATAAATAATTTAAATCTATTTTTGAGCGATTTAATTGAAGCCTGTGAAATAAAGAAATGAATATAGCTATTACAAGAGTACGATTGAATTGAGCATTGGCTTCATTAAGGCGTCGACGACACTCTTCTTCAATTCTTTCGAGTTCAATCGCGCGTCTATCTCGCGAAATGACAAGCTGTTGAAAAGATTCTTCAACATTCTGTTGCTCCTGCTCATTCTTTCGTTTTTCGTACACCTGCTGCATCAGCCACGATTGCATCTGCTCTTTTTGGTCTTTCAGACGTGCTTTTCTTTTTATGTCCTCGCCGTCAAACCTAAAAATAAATTCTAAAAATTCATTGTAATCTGCCAACACCGTAAAATGAAAAAGAAACTAATATGATATTGCAAATACTAATGATAAGATGAATTTTTTTGAGCTGACTTTTGTGCAGATGCAGGGCCAAGTCGTGGATCATCATCAGATATTCGAGCAGGAATAGTTTTTTTTAATCGATCAGGATCATAAAGATCATAATCACGACGATCTTGTGGACGTTGATAGATTTGCCGGAAATTATTTATCTGTCTGTCCATTACCTTCCTTTCCTGGAATATTAATTAATCTAATTTTAAAGATATATACTAAAGTGCTTTCATAAGAAATTATCTGTCTAAGAAATAGTATCATTATGTAAATGACTACAATTGTAAAAATATCAATTAACAAGCTATTTAAAATCAACAAAGATCCATCAAAGTCACTAAAGTCAAATGAGATGGACGGTTTTCGTAGAATAGTTTAAAAAGATTTATATACTGCACAATCGTTTGTGTTTTTTCTTATTTTTCCAACTTCTTATCTACTTAACTTTGCTTTTAAAACTTCAAAAACCGAGACCTTGCTATATATCTAAAGCGATAAAACTGCATTATACCAGAAAAATATTTTATCATCATACCTCCTCCTGCTGTTTCTCAAGCATGATTGCAAACTGGCTGCTGCGCACTAGAGCTTCATCCATTCGACATTCCCGTTCTCGCTCATGCTGACGCAGCTTCTGCTTCTCTTTAATTTGCTTGTCCAGGAATTCTCTATCTATCTTTATTAAGAAAATAAATAAATACATTCTTCTTTTACCATAAATATTATTTTTAGCAACTACATATGATAAAATGTATTATTTCCGCTTTTTTGTATACTAATTGAATTTGATATTGATAGAGTATTGTAAAAAAGTTACAAGATCCTAGAACACATTTTTTTTTGCATTTGAATTGATTTATTCTTGGTTTTTATTCTACATATTCTTCCTTATGAGCAATCTTCCCACGGGCATTTATCAATCTCATATTCTTTAACTCTTCCCTCTTTACTTGGAATTTTCAGTATAATCAATTGCAAATTTATTCCAAATATAACGAAGTTTTTATTATTTTTGGAAAAATAAAAGTAATATTGTGTAATAAGTAAGAGTTCTAGAGACTTTTTTTAGATATAAAAATTTAAATAGTATTTTTCTCAAATACATAGCATACAGAACATATCAACATTGAGTAAAAATATTTACAGTGATTCAATAATTTCATTTATATCAAATAGTCAAACCAAAATCACCCTTTCAACTAAAAAATGTAATAATAGAAAATTAAGTTTGAGAAGATTGGAAAGATCACTCAATTTTTTCAACTTTTTTGGTAAAAGTTGAACCAATCTTGCACAAAATCTAGTTAGCTGTGAATAATGAGAAGATAGACTCAAAAAGAGCTCTAGAATTATCAACATTATTTGAATGGCTTTCAAGATATCATTCAGAACAAAATCCACTTAATATTACAAAACTTTGATGATATTTTGAGAACTAATTTCAATCACAAGGCAATCACTTGATGCAATCAAGGTTACTTTATTGATTTAATTTTTATTCAAATCTTTTTTTTGATTCTCAACTATAAATTAATTTTAATTTTAACTTTTACTAAGAATTTCTTTTATTCAGTGGGTAAAATATTTTTCTTTTTTTGTAATGATTCCAATTTAGTCAAAAATACACATTGATTTTCCAATAATTTTGCTATTTATTGAGTGGTTCTCTGAATAAAAATAGTTTCATATCTTTTTCCTATAATTGATAACTCTATATCAACTTTCTATTTGAAAATAAATTTTACGTAACTTAATTAAATCCAATTCAATTGAAAATACAAAGATAAAAATAAAGCTATCACTTTTTTTCCTACATCTAAATCATATCTTATTATTTATAATAAAATTCTTCCAATAATTATGACAATTTATATTAAAAATATTTACCCCAATTTGACGTATCCGTGGATTAAAAATTCTCCGTTTCCTTGTTTCTTCTACTTGTCTTCTCTTTTCAACTTTTGCTACAACCTTGAGGTCCTGTTGCGTTGTTAGATCAAACTTAAACATCTCTCTGGTAGAAATAACTTAGACAGACGAAAAAAATATTAAGCAAATGTCATTCTGTTGAAACAATAACTAACGATCAATAGGGATAAAAAACAATTGAAAAAAACAAAAAAAAATTTTTTAAGGTAAAAAAAAAACCCAAACCGTAAAAAACCTGGTTGTCTTCTCCATTATACTTCAAATAGGTTTCTTAACAAATGAAAGGTAGAACTTTTTAGTTCTGATTCGTTTCCATGGATTGTTTGACTTCCCCATAAAACTGATAATATCAATGATTAGTCAACTGTGACGTTTGCATCAATTCTAGATGATTAATGAGATGAGAACTTTTTTGCCAACTATTTGATTCCCTAAACCGGGGTAGGATATGAATTTTATTGAATAGATTTTTCGTTATTTTAATAATATAAATTAAAAAAATCGATAATACTGAAAAAAGCAGTAATTAAATATGGTGGAAGGTTTGCTAGAATGAATAGCATCAAAACGTTAGAGGGTTCAGCAGATATTCAAAAATAGATAACCCGTGCATTCATGTGTTAGACGCAAATAGGTGTAGTAAAAATCGATAAACTGGACACGTGAATTAGAGGGTGTGACTTAATGTTCTTAAAAAAATTCTATTCTATTATCTTAATACATTTAAACAAAATTTCTTTTTTTTATTTTATTTCAAATATTTTTCGTTTATATCTTTTTTAATTATTAAAACAGCTCATACAAAATAATTTATTGCTCATTTTTAAATGAATGATTTCTTTTATCCCAACATTACAATGATTTATTTTCAAATTTAACTCTTAATTAATTTCAATACATTTTTTCAAATCAGCGGAATAATTTCATGTATTTAATTATTTCTACATTATTATTTTATGTGATATCATAATGTATGAGCCATTTCCTTATAATTCTACGTATAAGAAAAAATATTAGTCATCACAACATTGTTAAAAATATTCTATTTAAATACCTTTTACTTATTTTTATTAAAAAAATGAAGATGATTAAAAAAGACATATTATCATTCATTAACGTAAACAAATTAAATTCCAATGTCTCTTAAATCAATTTATATACTTAAAACTTTTAGTAACCGAGAAAATTCATTACTTGTTCTTCACTACGAATTAACTTATAGACAAAGTGTTCCTTGAAATAATCTTCATGTGCATATTTTTGAAAAAAAATCAATATCATTAAGTACAAATGTCAGACTATAAAAAAAAATTATCTAATGATTATTTGCACAAAATTGTTGTTGATTGTTTACTGCTTGATTTATATAAGAAAAATTTCAAAAATTTATTTCAGTCGCCTACATTTATGACGTTACTGAAGTGAGCTATCGAAGCAATTATGCAGTAGACAGACGAGCGAAACTTGCTTGGCAACGAAGCTGTGATATTGACCAATGTGTGGTAAAATTGTCACGTATCGTGTGATTAAATTGCTTTTATTTGTGTGTGCAATGAATCTTAGAATAAGGAGATGAATAAAAACATTTAGAAACACGAATGGCTAATGAAATATGTCACATTATTAGCAATGTAATAAAAATGTATTTTAATTTGTCAAAATAATTCAATTCTGATAGTAGATAAATAAAAGCAATATAATGGTTTATTTAGCTTAATCAATTGCATTGAAATCAAGGGGAAAATATCTGTACCTGATAAGTTATAAAGTTCAAGGTGTGAGTGCGTAGAAAACATTATTAATTGAGTATAAAAAAATAAATAATCAGAATTTGATAAATTTTTAATTGGGTCATTCAATTACCGGTTAGATAATAGACGTCAAAATAATTTTAAAGAATGATTTTTATAATAAACCTTGAATTCAGTTAATGAAACCGAAAAATGATTGAACATTTTTGAAAAAAGGTGCAGACGTCATTATTAGTTGGAAATAATTATTTTAAATTAACTCTGACGTTCAACAATATATGTATATTGTACTTTGAAACGTGTCTAGGTCATTGTCATGACGAACAAGTTATAAATTTTATTTTACAAAAAATGTATGTTTATGTCTTGAAGAATATCAATTGAGTACTTCTCTGGGTGAATAATTATGTCTGAAAATGCACAATTATCAACAAACAATATAAGTAATTGTCTTGTCTTGTTCGACTAACGCGAACCAGTTATGAATTATCGCGTCTTGAAGTTCAAGGTCACTTATTCGTGCGTCATAACGAGAAATTGCTCACCATGTACTTGCGACATTCATTTTTCATTAATCTAAAAAAAGCTCACTTACAAACAATCTTGTAAATTAAATTTCAAACCTTTCTCTGTTTTGGCAACGATCTTGATGAGGACCAAGAAATAGTCAATGGAAATCTACTAGTATTATCTACGTAGTGGCTTTTATTATTAACAATCTAATACTATGTTTATTTGAAAAATTGCCAATATTTTCCTAATTCTATCTCATCCCAGCTAATATTGACGATCAATGTGCTACAACAAGAACTCATTAGCGCAGGTCCAATTGTAACGATTCAACTTCTGTCACATCTTCAAGTTTCAAAATCATTACATAGTGCTTAAATATTTGAACAATGTTTGCTGTGAGCTTAGTCATTTCCTAAATCCCTATCTATGAATTACTATGGACATTAGACGGTCTGGTTGACTTGCGAGAATGTCATTGAATCACAATAAAATTTAATTGGCGTTGTGATGTTTGATGACATGCTGATGTTTACTTCTGAGAATTTCGGTACGATGAAAGAGTTTGCAGATTGTGATTCATCATAAAATTTCGCAGATCATTTAAGCCACCAGCAAGTCAGGAAATCATATTTGAATAATCTCTTTGTACCTTGCCAACTTAAATTATTATTCTTGGCGCACAATCTTTACTAACAGCTCCATCAGATACTTGTACAACAAATTATCCTAATTTTTCCTTTGACTTTCTGCTTAATTTCATTAGAAAAATGACCACATTGTTAAATTGACAATTGTAATTAATGTTTTTAGATATTATAAATTAATAATGAAATAAATTTGAAGAATTAGTTATTTTATTAAAAGACAATTATTAAATATTATTAAGAGACATTGAAATTTAATTTTCAATTCATTAATTATAAAATCAGATAATACTATGTATGTGCTGTTCATATTTTTATGATTAGGTATGTGCAGTTTTTATGACTTTTTTAAAAACAAAGCCAGCAGAATCATGACATAATAATCGAATAGCTATCAATTTTTTTGAAAATAAAAATCTAGTATTATCAATCAAAAACAAGTTATATAATCATCATAAAATAATTTATTAATAATAAAAATGAAAAGAAAAAATAATTTATTGATAACATAATGATTAGTGATTCTACTTCAATGACAGAAAGATCTTGGAAAGAAGAGTCTTAGAATAGTGCAACATTTATTTCTCTATTGTCAGTAACAAGGAATTTAATCTATTATTCATCGGCATTTTATCAAGAAGAACAAGAAGAAGAAAAACAAAACAGTATGAATCAATATAAATGTATAAACCACAAGAGTATAAGCAGCAAAAACATTCTACCAAAACATAGAGGTGATGGAGAGAATGATGTAATCAGTTGGTTATTAAAATGTCACGAACAAATTTACGTCACTTATTAAATGTTATCGATGTTATCATGCATGCGATGAATCGATCAGCTTTGAGATTAGTCTAGGTACCTTCATTAATAATTTATCAAATACGTTTTTCATGAATGAACACTTGCATTCAAATTTGTTTCAAGTGATGATTTCTCGAAATTTATTTATTCAAGATTGAATATAATTAATAATAATAAAAATATGTAAAGTCTGTAGTGTAGTAGTTTAGAGAATAATAATTTAATACTGTTGGCTATTAAAAAAATTAAATAGAAATAACTTCATTAGTTACCCTGTCCCAATTATTTGTTATAAGACTACACAATAAAATGTCAATAATAAATATGTGTTGAAGCAGTTTTTTCATGTTCATATTTTAATAAATAAAAGCTCTTGGGGAATACAGTATTTGTTAAAGTAAGTGAAAAATCGAAATACAATAAAAAAAATACAAATTATGATAGAGCTTTGAATAGGAGCTTTCCAATAGAACATTGAGTTTTTTATGAAATAATTATTCAAATGGATAGAAAATCATTACTTTTTTGAGTGAACAATTTTATTTCAATTGTTACATCAATGCGTAAAAAATACTGCAAATAGCCGAGCATTTACTTATTACCAGTGTCAAGCAGATTATTGATTTATTCAGTGATAGAGTTGACACTAATAATCAATGAATAATTACTGATTCATAGAGATTTTTATTGATCTATTTTAAGAAAGTAAATAAAATACTTTAAGTGTATTTAATGTGCAATGCTATTAACAAATTAGAAAAAATTCAACATCGTCTACTTCCAATGTTATTTTCAAATAATTATCAACTGTTATTTTTATCTGGAAAAATATATAATCATTAATATCACTGCAATTTATGGAAAAAATAATTTTGTTGGTACAAGATATAAGAAGAGTTTCAATATTTTATTAACGGATTTATTTTTTCATTTTTAGAAATGTTATTACCTGGTAGTAACAGTTAATGTGATTTTATTGTTAGAAATATATACAAAAATTGTGGGCTTGAAATTTATTTTCATTGCTCATTATTTATTTTAATATGATATCAACTGAATTTATTTTATATTCATTCAAAAGCTTTTAATATGTATAAAAGATAAAAAATAATTGGTTTCATTTGAATTTAAACGTTTTACCAATTTCATTAGCTCATCTGTTTTCTAAAAAAAAAAGTGTTTCATCCACCTCTTGATTATTTATTCTATTTTTATCAAAATACAGATAATAAAACATATTCAAGTATCATTTAAAATACAATTTCATTGTAATTAACTTACAATTAATGATCCATTGCTTATCAAAGATTTGGATAATGTTTAAAAGAAATTGGCGTTTTTCTAAAGTATTAATTAGAATACTTTCTCTCCTTTTCAAGTATTCTAATTATTTGAAAAATTTCACTTAAAATTAACTTAAATATTAATGATCTCTTACCTTATTCATTTAAACGAGAAAAAAAATCAATGTGTACATAAAATAACAAAATATTCATAAGATTATTATTCTGTAGTACTTGTATTGGTATTGGTAAACGAGCTAAATTTGTTATTTAAGTGACCCAACTAACTCCTTCTTGGCCTTAATACAGCATACAGATTAGCATAAAACGCAATATCTGTTTCAATAGAATCAAATGATGATTTAAGTAATATTTTATCGATTAGAATATTTTTACAAGTCATCATTTATAAGTTATTTGTTTTGCTAATGATATAAATAGAAACTTTCTATCCAGCCTATTTTCAATGTCAGTTCATTTTTTAAATCAAATTTTTCACATATTTAATCGAACCACTCAGGTTTTTTTTTACAATCTAGTACTGAAGAGAAATTAATTGATACATATAAAAGAAAATATTTTTGTAATTTTTTCAGAAATGTTTATAGTGGAAAATTAAAATTCACTAAATGTCATTTTTAAGTGGATAAGATTTTAATGAAAATCTCTAATGCGTTTTTAAAATATAGTAGAGATTGTAATTACTACTTATAGTAGAAACAGTTTGTTGCGAATTTATTTTATTAAATCTAAAAATATCAATTAATTGCTTTTTCGTAGACACATTTTAATAAATCCTTTAAATCTACAGACTTGTTTCATTGAATTGAGTTTGTCAACCTCTATAGTCCGCAATCTTTCAATCAAAGTTCACTTATCAGCTAATTTAACATCTTATTTTGATACATAAATATTATTTTGAGCATATAATTTTCTCAGATCAATGTTCTCAATTTCTGCAGGTTACCTAGGTCAGTGTGACTTTCTCTACTTTATCACATTCATCTCCAATCTATTCTTGGAGTAAAACAAAGCCCTGAGTCACCCTAAGATAAAGCACGCGTGTGACAGAGGAGCAGAGTGTAAAATCTGCCAGTCCAAGTACATCAAACGCCGGTCATCATCTCGGTCCTGAGTGGGCCAAACAACATGGTAACAAAAGCGATGGATGTAGAATGCAAAGAGCAAAAACTCTAGAATAATAAGTAGGTGGGGAGTCTTGAGGCAAACTTGGAAGAAGCTAGGAATTTCGCGGGCAACGTAATCAGCCAAGTAGAAATGGTACGTGCGTGCGCAGCCTCGGTGACGCGATGACGTCACGTGGTTGCTCCGGGCAAGTCGCGCGAGACAACTCTACAAACCTGATCAGCTCTAACCATGCCAGACAGTTAGTCTAGCCGCGCACCTCGAGCTGTAAGTACGATAATGACTTTAAGTGTTGACTTAAGAAACGTTGTCTTTAATTCGAACAATCAGATACATCATTTGATGGTGCTAACAGAAGAAATACAAGTCTAACTTATACTTCAAGTGTTGGAACAAAAATAAATGAAGACATTTCATTCAAGTGCCATTCATAAATAAGTGCAATAATTGAGTGATTGAAATTTTGAAAGTTATCTTATTTACTATAAATAAACCCATTAATGAACAACATTATCATTATTATCGACTTGAATCCCTCAAATGTAAAGCTGAAAAGTATATTGAGCAACCCCTTCCTCGTAACTTCTCATTCACTTTTGCGCACTCTCACTGTAGACTCTTTTCTTTATTCCTCACCACTGCTAACATTGAAGGATCTTATTGTATGTCGTGCGTGATAGAATCTCTGGTGGTGTTTTCCACTTTTCTTTGTGACGACACTGGAGATCTAAAGTGACATTAAATATTAAACTGTTGAGTAGGAAATTTTTTTATTTTCAAATATTTATTAAGATAAGTGCAAATATTTAACTTACATTAGTAGTGCTGAATTTTTCAAGCTGATGCTAGAATTACATAGTCGTGATCATCTCCAGGGTACAATTTCGCAACAATAACCGGTTCTCTTGGAGCCAGGTGCACCTACAGACTTACCATTCATCAAGAAGTCACTCTAGAAGAGAGAAAAAATAATTGCTACAAAATTCTATTTGTTCTATTTATGTTGCGACTTGCACTTTATTGGACAATCCCACCTGGATCAATTGTTGGTGAGGTGACACAGATAATTATCGATAGAAAGAGTAGTTAGTTACTCGTACTATGAAAGAATGAGCTGCTCGGTAAAGATCTCGAGCAAAGGCTGGGCAGGTTCGCAGAGGCGTATTGGCTCTCTGCCTGAAGATAGTGTCTATCCTACCCAAGTCACATCGGGGAATCTTCCCGGAAGTACATCAACGCCAACCCTAGCTTCCCAGTCGACCTTAAAGACTACTCAATCATCAAAAATTACCTCCAAGACTCTGGTTGTAAAAAAAGGTGAAGACACTACTAAACTACTAAAGTACATTGATGATAACATCATTGGAAAAAATGGCACATTCTTTGGACCATTCGGCCGACGAAAAGGTGAGATATCTTATCTGATATAATATTTATTTTTAACGTTTCATAGATAGCTTTGAATCAATATTCATGAACAAGAGAATTTTCTGTTGCTTCTATTCTTCATCTTATAATATTAACTAAATAAATGGAATTTTAGTCGACAAAGACATCATAGTACCACGTGTTTATTTTGAAGAAATAGAACACTACTCCAAAATCAATATCTCTTAAGCACCGAATCATATTTCTATAAATTATCTGTATCTAGTAGAGATACATCCGATGTTCCCCGATTAAAAGCCATAATGTATGATATTTCATCTCCTATTTGGTATTATTGCGTAATGACAAATAATAACACAAAACCGCCAACAGCTGGTGTGATCATTGTAATTCGTCACCACCCCGACAGACTGCGTGGCGACATTTATTTAATCCATTACATGTTTTTGTAGATTCATCGTCATCATCATTAAGTGGAAAATCTTGGAGAATACCTTTGCAATGAGTTTGAGTTAGGCAAATAATATGATAGTTTCTTCTCATTATATTTAATTTTTTAAATTAGATTTCATAGTTCATAAAATTATATGATTTGTTGGCAATGTATACGTGTAAACAACGAAAATTACATAAGTATAAGCGCTTCACTGTAGACTGCAGGGCGCCGACAGCTGCAAAGTTTTTTCATTGGTCAACATTTTTTTCAATCATTCCTACTGATATAATAAAATATAACAAGTGGATGGAAAGATACTGCTGTAAGCTGATAAGTATAAGTAGTTTCCCTCAAAACAAAAACATTATTCTTATCCTGTATGTATACAGACTCGTGCAATTGCTTTTCTACTGTAGATCATTATTGTTATCTTGTTAGAATTGGCAATAGTTGATGATTACTTGTTTAATTCCTAAGATCATATTAGATGAGTTATGATGACTTAAATTATAGTTAGAACTTTTAACTAAAGGATATAATAATGAATTTGTACATTTTCTGAAATGACAAAGTTCGGATTGAACCAGTTTCACATTTACAGATTAGATTCAAGTGGTTTTCCTTGACCTACAATTGAAAGCTGTTCATTTTATTTTCATACAAATAATTGTATTCAACCCTCAATGACTAACTGAGATTTATTAACACATCATTCTTGAATGCTGAATTAAATAATAAAAGTAAGCTTTACTGCTTTATGATTATAATTTCTGGTATCAAAGCAAGTAAAATATTCTCGCAAACCATTATAGATTGATGATTTTTATCAGCAAGGAAGATTGTCAGTAATAATTATTTTTTATTGCCTTTGACTAAAAAATTTCTTGGTGATGTAAATTTATGATAGGCTAGTAATTTGTGATATTAAAAAAAACTAACTGACATACACAATTTAGTTTAAATGAACTACTGTACTGCCACACATATTCTATTATTTTATCTTGTTTTTCTCTCTGGGAGACACTGACTTTATCTAGAAAGACTTTGTAAGCCAAATGTCTCTCTGATATTTGTCACACGTATGTCAAGCAGCAAAGTACAGCGAGATTATTCTATCATATTGTTTCCATTTATTTTATTCACATTGACAACTTTATTAATTATTCGCATAAAAAATATTTAATGAAACTTAATCGTTAAATTAACAACAGTAAAACAATGCTATTGAGTATAAATTATTAATCATTTAATCAGCTGATGAATAAAGTCAATATTTTTTTGAGTTTTAAATTCTCATGTTAATAATGCAGTAATAACATTTTTTTGGAGTAGTATCAATACAGTTGACACAATTTGAAGATAGTACAATATTTTAATGCGTTTCTAAAATATTATTCATTTTAAAAATAAATATCTACTACATTTCTTGACTCAAATTTAGTATGAAGAATTTTGAAGTATTGTAATCATCATAATTCTCTACCAACGATATTATTCCAATTGATGATTATAAATTTTAGTTTTTGTAAATTATGTTAAATTTAAAGTTCGCCAGAACTAAATCAGATGAGTACGTAGGAAAAAATATTAACATAGTTGTGTTTATTCAGTTCATAGATACAACTGAAGCCTGATGAAATTGATCGACATCTGTTGTTTGTCAAGCAAACATACAAAATCACATGATGAAATTTAGGAGCACTAAAAATCATATTTTCTGTTTCATAAAAATGATCAAACATCATATCGATGTTCATATAATTGCAAATATTTTTTTTTTCATGCTCTTAATCGTTGAAAATATTGTTTTTTTCTTTCTGTTGTCCTCCAACAATATACATAATGTATGAGTCATTTTCCATATAAGCTTGTTACCCGCAGTCTGTTTTTTTCCACTTTATCGATGAATTACAACTAATCTGGAAAGAAATATTTTACCATGATAAATTTTATGAATGAATCAAAGGAATGCAGAGATTTCTTGAAATGTAAATGCAAAGATTATATCTTGTGCAGCTTCAATCGAGTCGAGGTACTAAAAAATTAGTATTATTAACCAAGTTGTTAATGAAAACATTTTACATGTTTTGAAGAAATGATCTTCCTAATAAAACCATGACATCATTACTTGTTTATATCGAGGCAAATCACTACAGGATATTTTATTTCACAAATTTGCGTGTGTGTACAGATAAAAAGAAGAAAGCATATCTCATCTCATTAGATTTGCACTCTGACTATTCCCCACGACGGAAGACTATTTTAAAGTTCATTTCATATTGATAATGAAATCATATTGACAATATTTCTATTATTTTTGCATTTATTTGTTAACTTCGTTTTTTTATTTGTTTATTATTATTATTTTTTTTTTTACCACGTGTATTTAAATTAAAATTCAAATAATAGTTGACCTTATTCTTTATCATCGAAAATTCCAAGTTACATCATCGACCAATAAAAGCCTACTTTCACTTATCAGTTGTGAAAATAAAATTTTAAAAGAATGTCATTTAAAAAATAAAATTTATTCCTAAAATTTTTTTTTATCATTTGAATCATTATTGATGTAATTTACTGTGAAATGCCTCGTCTGTAGTCGGATAGCATCAGATGCATTAGCAGTGTAACAACTAATGTATATTGAGTTAATTATATTGAGAATAGAAAAAAAATGTGTGACGTATGTATTCGTCGCGCCTACTTGTGACCTCCAAATAGAGAAACCACGTGCACATGAGATGTTAAGCGTATCCCATGTGGCTGACATGCAGCTGAGTTGGGCCCACATCAGCCGGTTTGATCTTTAAGCCTTTAAAGTGTGTACTGTTTATTTATATACATGTATACAAGTATTAAGCACACATTCATATTCAAATATACGCGTGAAATGTGCTGATAGCTACAACAGTAGACGCTGAACAGTAAAGAGAATTTTCTTTGTTGATACTGAATTTAATTTTTAGCTTCCTGTTGAACCTGCGAATTTTCAAGGCCAGTTATCATTATGTAAGAATGGAATAAAATTTTTTTAGTAGCTACAATGAATCACAACACTTTTTTATAGTTTGTTATTGACGGGTTGTAATATAAATTTTCTAATCGGTAGTCACGGACTAAAAAAAATTTATGATCTGCGGTGCAGATGAAAGTAATGCACAAGTAACAAGCTACGACATCACATACACAACATTAGTAACGTTTATTTTTGCTTAGTTGGTAATCGATCACCGTTTTTAACGATCAAGATGTGTGTGCCTGATGAAAACGTTTATGCTGCTGGTGTGGAGTGTGATCTCTATTAAAAGAATTTAGCAAACAAGTTAAAAAATAAACATCAAAAATGCTAGATAAAAATATTCTATCAGAATGTTTTTTACATTTATCTTCTTTTTATGAGATCATTAAGTTGGCCTTAGATTTACAGTTATTCCATGACAGTGAGTCACTGTTAGAATGTTCAAACATGAAAGATGAAATAACTGATAATTAGGAATCAGATTTTTTTTTAATCTTTTTCTTTTTTTCAATTACTGTCACATGAGTTTATTCCAAAAAAAAATCAAAGGAGAACTTGACACAAAATTTTACAAATATTCGCTTTAACTAGATTACTGTTACATGGTTCTTTTCATAAATTACGGTAAAAACTGTTTTATCTATTTTTTTGCATAAATTGTAGCATATCATAAATGTTTGAAAAATTATAACATTTTTTAAATTGAAGATTATTCTAAAACGATTAATATATATTTGTTAAAAATAATTGGCTTAATGTAAATATTACTTTGTTCAAGACTATTCAACAATAAGTATTGAAGATAATACAAGTAAACAATAATAATTTAAATTTTTAGAAAATAATAGCCGTTTTAAATAATTTAAATACTCCGATTACAAAAATAGGTTTAGCTCTATCTCATCAAATATGATTTTGTTTCTAACGAAAAAACTTCTCCAAATATTTAATTTATTTAAATTAGTTTGATATTAAATATTTAAAATAAAAGAATAAAGATCAACCAGTATTCACACATTATAAAGGAATTAATGTTTAATCTTACGCTCCATAATTAAAATATTTTTTAATCACTCGGAGTGTACAAACACTGATAAAAAACTGATATGACATTAACATTTATGTATGATATTATTCGAATTAGATAATTCCACCTATAAATTTTTACTAGAAAAACTATTCATTCAAAAAAATTGTCAACAAATTTAGTTTTTTAGAGGTACATTTTTCCTTTTTGAAACAAAATTTAAATGAAAAAAATTTATTGATTGCAAAAAAAAATTACATGTAAACAATGGACATTGATAATCTGGTTTTTCATGCTTTTTTTAATATACAACAAAATTAGACATTGAAGTCACGATTTTTTGAAAACATGTATAAGTTAAAAACAAATAATTTTAAAACAATTAACAAAAAAAAATAATAAGATAATAATTGATTTTTCTTTGTTTGAATCAACAAATTATATTTAATTGATAATTGTTGATCTATTAGTATGAAACGAAGCTGTCTGATGATTTATAAATAATATTGAAATATATTGATATTATCGATATAAGA